TAAATATTTCTGCATATTTGAGTTTTTCGTAAATATTTTAGGGTTTTTAGTTTCTTTTCATACATATTTTGAGCATTGATACATATCCCGAAATGAATATTTCGTCGAATAAATTCCAACACTCTTTGCACGTCTGTGCACGACTTTACAAACCATGATCAATTAAAACAAAACAGCAACTCTGCAATATAATGCTGTTTGCACAATGTACTTTTTACTGTGTAGCCAGATCGACATTTGTTTTAACTGCCGTTCGCCGAAATATTGCTTGCATTTGCGAGTGTCAATAATCACATTTCATGTAAACAACTAACGATGATATTTAGTCTCGCGCACAAATGAAATTTGGAATTTTGAATTTCGTTCTCGATTCGAGACAATTAGTCGGTCTCGATTGAAACAATTAGTTCTCTGAGTTGAATGACCAAAACGACATCGACATGCGGAAGGGTAAAGAAAGTTAAAAAGAATTTTTCGAACGAATGTTGACGGAAATTCCAGGCCAGTTTCGTACGGATGGCAAAGTTTTGTTTAGTTTAATGTGCGATATTGAAGTAAACGCGCAGCAAAGAACGCCACAGGAGATAAACGCATTCAAGTTTGCGCCAATCACAACATCCAACGATGAACGTTTATTTGCCCACTACAAGAATGTTTTGACTGACAACCGACGCTCCATTTTATTCCATAACTTGTCCAAACATTTCATCATTTACTGTAATAAGTTGGTTCAGTGATAAAAATTGAAAAAATGTCAAAAAATATACACAATTTTAAGCTATTTTCCCATATTTTTTATCATAAATATTTTCAGTACTTTAGTGGTTTTTCGTAAATATTTCGATGTTTTTTCGTAAATAAATATTTACATATTTTGACTTTTTTCGTGAATATTTTTTGTTGCCCTGATTATTTAAATAAAATTACCGTCTACTTCGAACAATGGTTTTGGCTTTTTTTTTCTTGTATTTTTTAGTCTATCTTCACCTTGAGTGACGATTATCATTGATTGGATGTTTTTTTTTATCTATTTTTAGTTCACTTCAAATTGATTGCTGTTACTTGTAGTAGCTTATTCGATCAGCATAAATGAAGCGGACATCTTCAAATGAAGTGGCTTCGGTTTGATGTGATTGCTGAGAAATAATAAACTTTTTTACAAGGTAACAAGATGGGCGCTCCGCGGAGCTTTTGCATCCGTACTTATTTTGCATTGTTTTTCAGTTTGTTTTCAACGAGACGTTCCCGAGATATCGTGTCGGAACATTAAGAAGAAAAACAAACAATCTAATAGCTCTTCATTTCATGTAGTGCTAAAAATGGGTGGCAGATTACACAATATCGCTAACAATACAGCTAATCTGAATAACTCTTATTGACGCACATCAGTTAATAAAAAAAAAACATAAAAAACATCGCCCAATCTTTCAAAAATAGAAAAAAAACTCTTGGAAATATGTACAACTGTGCCTTCAAAGAACGAGGCGTAAATTTTTGCAGATTTTTATACCATTGTGCTTTCAAGCAGTAGTGGAGAAGGTACAGAGTCAAATACACTGTACTTTAGTACTATTGATTGGTAAATAATCATGGCGGCTCCATATTATTGCAAAAAGCACAAATGGTATAAAGCCTTCACACGTTCTTTAAAAAAAATGTATCAACACATTATCTCCGGAAGGAGTCTCCAATTAAGTGATCAATCGCGATGTAATAATGTCTATTTTTACGATAATTACGGGAACTTGGAAACATTTTTTATATTCCGAAGAACAAAAAAGGAAAAAAGTTGCTTGAGCCGCACCGGATTGTCGCCTCTTCTAGATTCCCCAGATTATCCGCAATGACCCTCAATTCACGTTGATCCAAGTTTCCTGATACAAATTCGAATTTGGTGAGATTTGTATTTTTCAACGTGAAATCGAGCCATTCGTCTGCAAAATGAAATGAGATCTTCAAGAGAAGATCTTCAAGCTTAAATCCAAAAGCGGTGGATTCAATTAAAAATTTGGGTTCGATCAATGAAAACAAAGATATCCGCATAAATTTTCGGTCAGTTGGTCATAATTTTACCCATACGCTATACACCCAGATAAGTCAAGATTACTCATATCAAAGTAACCATTTTAATTTACAAAACAAATCAAACTCCATTGTATTTATGCTTGCACATGCTTAAATTGGAAAACAAATGTCAATGACTATGAGCTATCGTCGCTAGTTAGTCATTGAACCTAAAATAACAGAGTACGCACTTATCAAAAGAATTTCTGAGATTTCAATGGAACATTCTGTGAAATGTGGTGTGGGTGAAAACATACTTTCTCCCATTTTTAGTTCATTAATCGGCAGTCACAAGAAAAGATTTAATAATTTCTGCGATATTCACTTCATTCTTTTCTGAGTAGGCATTGATAGTGAAATTCAGAGGATTTTTTTCAAATTGAAAACTTTGAGTAAATTTCAAAAAGTGCTGACTTTTCGTAATAAAGACAATAAAACTCGTGAGATATTGAGACACCGCACAAAACATCGTAGATCAATGTGAAAAATTAAAGCGAAGTGATGGAAAACCTTTGGAAATTGCTAAATTTCGGTACCCGATTTCAATTGACTCCAATCACTTATACCGAATTCCATACCCAACTTGAACTAACGGACAAACCAAATATTTTCAAATTGGATGTCAATTGCTTTAACGAAATATTTGACTATTTGTCGCTGAAAGATTTGTGCTCAATCGGACAATCATGTCGAGAAATGCAAAGAATTGCCGGTGAATATTTCATGCGGAATTATGAATTGTCGTTGAAATTGAGCACAAAAAATGGCATTTACACAGTGTACTCTGACCATGGTGCTATTAATATACACATCTTAACATCGAGCTTTAATCCATTCATTAACTGTATTACCATCAAGCACGAGGATTTGGAACCAATTCGCTATATTCATATGCATAACTCTGAATTTGCATCGATCAACGAAATCGATCTTGTATGTTTAACAATCGACGCGGCCAAGGTAAAGAATTTGCGCAAAATTCTACCCAAAATCGAAGTAATGAAGGTGAATCAATGTGCAGTGAAGGGTGACTTTTACAAGCTCTTAAAACACTGTACGAGCTTAAAGGTATTCAAATTCTTTGTGTTGAAGATTTCGGGTATTGTAAGTTTATATATGAGAGTATACTGTTCTTCTTTTCTGTTTTTTAGAGACTTTATGTACAACACGATCTTGGATACATTATCGCCAAAGATGCCAAATGGATGGAACGAAACTATCCGAAGTTGGAAAAATTGCACCTGACGCCACAGCATCCATTCCGGATTCATGGACTGTACACATTTTTTCAACATAATCCAAACATCAGAAGCTTTTCGACTTCATCACGCTGTCTGTGGGATTGTCGCAATCAAATATTGGCCTGCAGAGCACAGTTAAATCGGTTGGAAATCCATATTTGTGACAATTACTACTTTAATCTGATTGATATGCAACTCATATGCTGCCTACTGAACCAACTGTATGAACGCAACTTCTATAAAAGCCTACACCTGTATGCCAAACGAGTCGACCAACAATTTTGTGAACAGTTATGTTCGGTAAGCGGACTCGAACGATTATCCATTAAACAGTTTAGTGAATGTTACAATCTGCCCCGTTTGGTCAATCTGAAAGAGTTGCTGCTGAACGGTCGAATTAGTAGAGGAGACATTGAAATTTTGGCAAACAGTCTTTGGAATCTCGAATATCTTTCGATTTCAAATGTGACATCCGCTGATATTTTACCATTCATGCGACACTCTGTTAATTTGTGTAAAATCTACGCTCATCTTAATGACGAAACACTGCATTTGAAAAAACTGAACAAAGAGCGAGAAAAGTTAAACAGAGCATGTAAAGTAACCATTTATGTTACCAGCAACATTTTCTTGGCCACAAAATGGGCAACCACACATGGAGTAACCAACTTAAATCTGGTTGAAATGAAACGAGCAGATATGCATTGAAAGATATGACAAAACGTGGAAAATAATTGGATTTGAAGATTGAAGGATTGTAGGATCAGTTGATCGAAAAGAGGAAAAAATCTATATAAAAATACGAAAAATGAAATGTTATTCTCACCATTTCTTATATATATTTTTAATGGAAAATAAACGGTTATTTTGAATTTTTTTGTATTTTTTTTTCAAAACGAAAAAAATTGAAGAGCAAAAAAAAGGTCATCACATTTGAAAATTAAAGGAGCCGAGAAACAAATTAAGGGAGGGAGTAAATCGGTCTTACCTGTGCACCACCATGGCGTAGAATAAATTGTATTAATTATACTTGAACTTGGCATTCTTTTGGCGTAGAGTAAATTGATTGGTTTCTCTTGGGTAGTTGATATTCGATAAGACTTTTTTTTCTTTTAATCTGCAAAATTTTGACAACATATTTTCCTGTCTACCGCTATATGAGTTGCTAGTCACGCTAGCTACAAATCATAGGTTCCACTGTGATCTATCTTCTGTGAGCATGTATGTGAAACTTCGAAACGAAGAGGAATAGATACATGAACTGCTGAGAATAATAGACTGACGATAGCAGGTTTTTCGCAAAAGCGGGATAAAAATCAGTTGCACGCAATAGAGACATTTCAAAAGGTTGCACGCAAGAGAGAAGTATATTGTGGTTGTAATCACGGCTTTAAAATTCCAAATGCGACAAAATAAAATGTTCCGTTTGCGTGTAACCTTTTGAAATGTCTCTTTTGCGTGCAACTGATTTTTATCCCGCTTTTGCGAAAAACCTGCCATCGTCAGTCTATTATTCTCAGCAGTTCTTATAAGATTTAATTGACACATGTGCCGAAGTCAATTGGTTGAAGCGTTATCCTTGGCACAACCGTGCTTCTTTAATGTCAGTGTTTTTCTATTAAAAACAATAACAATGTAAATTCCTATCGCCCTCTTACAGCGGTTCTCGTTTTGACATTTAAACAACGTAGAATATTGAATGTTTGACAGTTCGTGATATTCATTTGACTGCTATGGAAAAACCGCTGTTGTGTGTCGATATTTTCAATGATGATTGATGCTCAAAACTCACGGGCACAACGTTCAAAACTTACGGTCACAAAAATGTATAATAAACTGATTCTGTATAATTTAAATGTTAGCCCACCGGTGCGTGCAGTGAAAGTGCTTGAAAGACTACTTGCCCTAGAGCTTGAACTTCGGTAAGCGGACTGAACATAATTTTTTGTCGATAGCAATTTAATTTTTGTTTTTATTTTATTTATTTATTTATTTAGAATCCATGTTAATGATACATAAAGTATTTGATGGGAAGGTATGAGTTTTGCCTCACCGTTGAACCTCACGTCTTTTCAAACGGTTATTGATTATACAATTAATTTTTACATTCATGTCGGGTGAGATACAATTGCAAGTGACCAGTCTATTTTCTATATTAGGACCGATTTGGATAACAATTAAATAGTTTTTTTTTTATACAAAAGATTAATAATTATAACAAAAAACAACAAGTATAAACAAAATAAGTCGTAAAACAAACTGCTTCGGGAATCGTTATTTAAATGACATGCGATAATTTAACAACATAGAGAAAAATGTTCGGGTGTCATGGTGTTTCGTATTTCGTATTTCGATAAGCTGAACGATATAAAGCCTTCCAAACATGTAAATGGGTGTAATTGATCACCCAATGATTCAGGGAAAAAATTCGTCAGTAATTATATGAAAATGTCAATATATTTACGAGATTCATATAGTTTTCTATTACCTAACTCTCCTTGTCAACTATCTTCCCCATCTTTTGCACCGGCACAGAACACACAATTTTAATTGAGCTAACCGGATGCCAGAAGATTCTTTGTAGATTTTATAACATCGATTCCAATTGAACGCACAAAATCAATGCATCGTGACTCACGATTCGTAAGTTTTCACGAAGCTTCTTTCTTCAAATAATAATTCAGTTTTCAAAATAAATATTCGAAAGTTTCTTACCCTGTTCACAGTTTTTGCAAAATCGCAGTTTCAAAAAATAAAGTTGAAGCATTTGGAACGAGCGCTGTCAAATGGGCATTGATAGAATTAAATCGACATTCTTCTAATGAAAGTATGCAAAAATCGTCTGATTCATCTGTTTATTGTATGCCAGTTTATGAGAAAAATGATATCACTCTACTTAATCCAATTCCATTTCCATTTTATTTCCTTTTTTTTACTCAATGAATCATTGAGAGCAAAACTTTGACTTCAGAGTTCTACCACCAAATTGTGGTTCTGCATTGGCGATGTATTCACATTAAATTGCCAACAATGCAAAAAAAACAATCATTTAAACACGATCATTTTTTTTTAAATTTAATTGAAAATTCAGCTTTTAATTTGAGTTCAAAAAACATCTTGAACATGTGGTTGATTAAAATTGTATTTAATTCACGCCGATAGAATGTAGACGATACTCGTCAGTTCATTGCAATGGAATGCGAAATGTTTCTGTTTGATTTGGAAGCTATTTTCCACTAATGTATATACCTTGTCCAGGTCAATTTGACAAGTTGTCCTTAACCATCAAATAAGTCTTATGACTGCATTTATTTTTGGATCACATTAATTAAATAACTTTATAACTATGGAAAAAATACACCGGTTGACGGGTTGACAGGTTGTTCGCCTGTAAATACCTGTCTCACATTTTAGTAAATATTGGAATTCCCGAAAACATCAAGTAATTTGTTATCGCAAAACAGGAACCAATTCAAACGCTGCATCGGTGCTTCATTTCATCACACTACTTCCATTGGTATATCATGGTTTATTTTAAGGAGATTTTGTTCAAAAAAAACACAAACGTTGTTTCAGTCTGAAAACACTTCTGTAATCAATCGAAGATAAAAATTAAATTCATTCGATTCTGGAGTTTTTATATTTAACTAAACTACAATGTGCGCAATAAATGATCTCACGATCCTGCTTAAACTGTATATGTAATATAATGCAAATGAACCAATAAAGATTTATTATATATAATTTAACCCATTAACTACCAGTGGTCGATTTTTCGACCAGTGGCTTTGGATGTTTTTCTCAGGGTCTATCTCCCTCCCCAGATGGGGAATTCGATTGATTTTTTTTTCTAAAATAAAGTTTGAAATTCAAACTTCCCAATGAGTATATTACAAAATCAGTAAAAACGTTTCAAATTAATCGGATCGATCATCGAATGAAACCAAAAAATTTGAAAAAAAATCCCCTAAGAATTTCTACAAATTTGTACTGAATTTTCAATTTTTCTATCGCTGTTAAAGATAAATGGGACTCATATCTCACGATTTGGGAAGTCTACTGTTATTTTTAGACCAAAATTGATAATATTTGAAAGTATCACGAAATTTGAAAACAAAATAAGAATCCTGTTAATTAATGGGTTAATAATATTGAGTTCACATTTCTCAGTCGATTCGACCAATAATAAAGATACAGGTTTAATGAATAAAGTGACTCAAGCGATGCTTATAAAAGCTGCTACTAATACTCTCAGAATTCAACGGAGGCAAACTAAAAACGACGGGTGGAAGCAATTCCGTATTTCTGTACTGAAACTATAGAAATGTATGTTCATCATTCTGGCCCTCTACAACTGTTTTTGAGAACTAACATCGGCATTTTTTTAAGTAATACGTTCTTTCATTTGTTTGGCTATAATTTCTATTATATTCGATTTGGTTACCGATATGTGATTTTTACGTTTAAATAAGTTATTTAAAATAAATCTGAATACATTTGAAATTTGCTGCCCCTTTTATAACTCATTGATTTCAGTCCTAAAAATCAGTTAATTTTCACTAGTTGCTATCTTGTTTTGTAAACAATGTGTACAACATGAACTGTCAACGGCTGACAAGTGTCGTGTATTGAATATGACAGAATGCTTCAAAATTAAGTCGATAGAGGGCCAGAAGTTCGAACTGTCGCTTCCACCCGTCGACTAAAAAACATATAGTGTAAAACATCAAATTACCCACTGTTTTTGCCTTTGTAGGCAAAATATCAGTTGAACCCGTGTAGAGGTGTCAACGGACAAAATTTTGTCCGTCCGTCCGTCCGACCATTTTTTGAAAAAATTCGGACGTCCGGTCCGAATGTCCGAAAACCGAAATTTTTTTTCGGACGTCCGGTCCGAATGTCCGAAAACCAAAAATTTTTTTCGGACGTCCGGTCCGAATGTCCGAATTTTTTTTTCGAACGGACGGACGGACAAGGGGTTTGTCCGAACTTTTCAAAATTTTTCGGACGTCCGAAGATTTTTCGGACGTCCGTAAAATTTCCGGACGTCCGAACAATTTCCGGACGTCCGAAAAAACTTCGGACGTCCGAAAAAAATTCAAAGCCAAAAAAATATTCGAGCCAAAAAATAATTCAAAAGAAAATTTTCTCGGCTCCAATGATTTCTTTCTAATCCCACAATTGATCCGTTGCGACAAACAAATTCCCTCAGAATATTTTAGTTTCAAAGTGCAACAACCAACTCAAAAACGTTTACCAAAAAGTGTAAACCAACTAATATACAAACTAATATATTTTCTTTTGAATTTTTTTTGGCTCGATTATTTTTTTTGGCTTTGAATTTTTTTCGGACGTCCGTAAAAACTTCGGACGTCCGGAAATTCTACGGACGTCCGAAAAAACTTCGGACGTCCGAAAAAATTTGAAAAGTTCGGACAAAACCCCTTGTCCGTCCGTCCGTCCGAAAAAAAAATTCGGACATTCGGACCGGACGTCCGAAAAAAAATTCGGTTTTCGGACATTCGGACCGGACGTCCGAATTTTTTTTCGGTTTTCGGACGGACGGACACTATTGTCCGAATTTTTGTCCGTGTCCGTTGACACCTCTAAACCCGTGAGCATAAAAACGACTTATTAAACAATCGCCGAACAAAACGATACAAGAAAAAACTACCGAACAAAACGTACCATAGCGATAATGTGTAGCACAGCGGAGTTTCGTTTTGAACGGTACCGTCCTGCTGTGTTACGTTTTTAACGTGTGTTTTGTTTGGTAGTTTTTTCTTGTATCGTTTTGTTCGGCGATTGTTTAATAAGTCGTTTTTATGCTCACGGGTTCAGTTTACCTGCACTGTATTAAAATTGTCGGCAAAATGTCATTTTACCTACATTGTTAATACAATGGAACACCGTTCCACCAAAAATGTAGGTAAACTGACATTTTGCCTACAATGGCAAAAAACAGTGGGTAATTTGATGTTTTACACTATATGTTTTTTAGTTTGCCTCCGTTGAATTCTGAGAGTAGGTGCTACCTACAGATACCTACACATGTGCACCGATATTCATTCTCTTTTTCGCGTATTCATAAGACGAATGCTCACATTTAACTGGATGCGACATCGAAATATTCGATGTACCGTCACACTTGGGCAATGCCCAGTAGGCATATATATACATTTTCTGCGCATCGCCGTCGTCGTCGTCGTCGTCGTCGTCGCTGTAGCTGTTTGTCAACACGATAACTCAAAAAATAATTGAGATAATCAAAATCTAGAAATGCCAAAAGTTTTGTATCCAAAAAACTTAGTTTAAGTTCGAAGATGGGCCATTTTCGAAATGACCCAAGAAATCATTTGAAAAATGACAATTCTGTATTAGAGGTATCCGTAAATCGACTTTGATTGGCTTCAAACTTTCTGGGGTTTCATTTTTTGGGAGAAATATAAGATTCTGAAAGTTTGAAGCCAATCGGAATCGATTTTCGGGTGCCTCCCAAAAAAATTGTCGAAATTTTGACTTAAGTGAGCGATTATTTTTAAAAAATGATTATTTCAAGTAATTTGAAAAAGAAACCCAAAAGTATACGGACAATGTACGGAAAAGTTTGGGATTACGAATGTAATTCTTTTTATTTTAAAGAAGATTTTGTTTATCGAAATCCCATTGGTTTTTTCATGTTTTTTTTTAATCCATTCACATCGTAGTATAGCGCTAAAACAACGTAGTATAGCATAGTATTATTCCTGATGTTGCTTATCATCGATCGACGATATGCATTTACAATAATTTTAGAAATAGATTTAAATAAAATGGGTCTCAGCAGTGCATTCACAATCAGAGTGAAGCATTCGCAACGACAAGATGTATTTCATTGAATAAATTGAATGATTGAATAAATCTGTTTGAAATTGAAGTGTTTCCTTTGAATTTGGAATTGAAGTGAAATTAATTACAAGATGACGGTGAATTTTAAATCGTTTTTCATTCTCATATTATTATTTAAATCAATTGCAATGAATGCAGACGGATTGGATTCAAATAATCTTAAATCACCTTATCCTTTCAATTATTTAATTTGGTGGAACATTTGTACGTGAATAATTTGGAATTTAATCATTAAAACAAAAGAAATTAGATAGGTTATATTTTTGTTTTTCAGTTCATCCAATTTATCCAGTTTATCCAGTTTATCCAGTTCATCCAGTTCATCCAGTTCATCCAGTACATCCAGTACATCCAGTACATCCAGTACATCCAGTACATCCAGCAATGGAAATACCGGAAGAAACTGAGACCCCATTGGAACTTGAAGTTAAGTGCAATTATGGTATGTTAATGATCTGAATTTTAGTTCTATAGGTGAGATTGAGAGTAGTGTATGTTTCACTGATTTTGTTATGATGATTATGTAAGTTGCTTTCGACTTAAAAATGGTTAATGGCGATTAACACATGAAAACCGTAGAGGCTAGACGGTACGCCAACATACTCTACTACAATGCAGGGCTTAAAATAAGAGTGAATCAAGTCCAAAATGGTGAATCAAAATTTAAAAATGTGAATCAAAATATGCCAAACGGTGAATTAAAAATTCACCAATAAAACATTAATTTGATGTCTCTTTTTTAAAAAATTCGCGACAATCGAACGTCAAATATATTTGATGTGATGGATATTGCAGTTTCAACCGGTTTATTTGAATTTTGCCGCTCATTTACTTGATATGATCTCATTAATACAAAATATATTTGATAATAATTACCCAATTTTCAACCCAAATTCGGAACTGTTTGGAACAACAATAAATAAACGGAATTGCACACATATCAAGGATTTTTTTAATCGTTAACTTTTTTTCTTGATTTTTATGCCACTGTGGATTTTGAATTCATCCCCCCCCCCCCCTTTGATTTCAGAAAATGTGAATCAAAGAAAACCCTTATTTTAAGCTCTGCTACAATGCCAACAGAATCATCAGAAAACATACTCGCCTCTTCAAAAATATAAATCGAAGAAAAACATACTCCACTCTCAATATCACCCATAGAGTTGTTAGAACAAAAAAGGGTTATATTTTTATAATTTATATTTCAGCCTGTGTGCTTGTCAATGGTGTGGATGATTTTGGAGAGTGCAATAGGATTTGTGCAAATTGTAGAAGAGGTAAGAAATAAGCATTATAATTTATAAGTAACTATATTATTAATTTGAAAATATTCTAATCTTCCAGATTGCGCGCGTCTAAAAAAATTCTGTGACGGCGAGTATCATAAAACAATCAATTGCAACATACAAACAAACTCTTTCGGGAATCGTTATTAAAATGACATGCGATAATTTAACAACATAGAGAAAAATGTTCGGGTGTCATTTAAATGAAAAATCCCCGACACTCCTTGGCGAAAGCATATTTGTAAATATTATTTATTTTATTTTATCAGATTTATTCTACTATCCGCCAGAAGAATGTGTAAGACAGGAACGTATGTGCTGCAGAGTAGGTTGTGTCGAGATTTGGAAGCCATAAAACTAAATTACAAGGCAGCATAAATAACAAACAATAAAAAACGGACTCTTAAAATAAAAAATAATGGCATTCATATCCGTTAAGGTATACACCATTGAAAAGATGTTCAATCAGCTCTAAGTTTTTTTATCCCGTCATTTTTAATTGTTCACTAGATTGATACATTTTTTCCTCTTCATATTTTTATAATATATTCATACGTGACTGGGTTGGCACAATAGATCCACGCTAAAAAAAACATTTGTCGTTTTTCTTAACACTATGACCGTTCCTCGGGCATACAATGCCCGTGGCGACTTTGAAATACAAATAAAAGTAACAAAAACCAAAAAAAAAATTGAAATTGGTACCGTTCGATACAGTGAAACTTTAGCAATATACCAGTATAATTTCATATACGTATATGTGTAAGGATGTGTGAGATATTACCTCCCACACACGCATGTGCGTTGCCTGTTCCTCGGGCATACAATGCCCGTAATGTATTTTTTCACGGAACTTACAACAGATAAGTGACTTTTATCTTAAGCAAAGTTGTAGAGCAGGTTGATTACTACAATATTCTTGAAGATACTATTTCGTTATCTCTTATCAGTTGCGCGAAAATCGATAAGAAAGAATTCGACTATTTTCGCGGTTTTTTGCGGAACTGATAAGAGATAAGCGATATTTCTCTTTAGCAAATTTATAGAGCGAGTTATCGTTATCTCTCATCACAGTCCAGTTTTCATACGAAATACATTACGGGCATTTTATGGCCGAGGGACAGTCATAGTGTTAAATCAATCTGTTATAAAATTATCGAAAGTGATAAATAAAAAAAAGAAGTAGTAGCAGTTTAAATGGAATTTTTATGATCTATAGATATATATATATATATAGGGTCATGTACTCGAATGTGAGCCACCTTTTTTCTTTGGACCATAAAGGCATCAAAAATTTGAAATTTTGGACATCTGATGGCACTCTTCTGTAGAGGAAGGAAAATCCTAACTTAGGAAATTCACAATTTTTCAAAATTTAGATTTTTCTCAAAAAAATTTCAAATTTTCAAACATGATGATTTTTTGACTTTTTCAAAACTATACTCTAATGTGAGCCACCCCCAAAATTCATCGAAAAAATGCATAAATATCCACATAAATCATTTTAAATGTTGAATCAACAATCCTTTAAGATAAATAAATGAAGATATGAGCAAAAAAAATTACACTCAAATGTGAGATCCATCGATTTCAAACCCCAACAAAGAAGTTAGCGTCTTTTCCTTATAAGTTTGGCCACTTTCAATATAAAAGCAAAATAAAGCTAATATAGGATTTTCGGCTGTTAATTGCAATAGATGGCGCACATTGACAACACCACAAACACTGGAAAGCAGCCAATGTATACGACTGCGTCAGAGTCTACACAAAGAACTGATCGCTCACACAGACGTGTGTTTGTATGTATATATGGATAATCTGAATATGCGCTCGCGTTGTGTACAGTGCAAGATGCTACAGGCAAAATCAAAACAAACAACACAAAAACATAACAGTACATTCGATTGATAGATTCCATGACTTCAAATTCTGAATGATAATTCAGTTTGAATTTTTCTTTTTTTGTTGTGATTTGTCATTTCGTTGGGCTGATAATTACTTCATGATTGAAAATACTAAGACTGAATCGTTTGTAAAGTTCACACTGCACACGCTCTCGTGTATATTTCATTAGTGTGATACGAAATAATTTTTGTTGAATTCATAAACACTGTGTGTGAATGTATCACATTTTTTTAATCATTGTTGCGCCTGAATTCTTTCCAGGAATGGTTCAAACAAAGTCGCACTGATGAGCTGTAAACAGCGAAATCGATCTACATAAACAAAAAGGAAATTCTTTCAGTTTGTGTTTGGATCGATATGCGAATGGTTCGAACAAAGTCGAGTAATTTAAAAGAAAGATCATATTGTAATACCAATAAAATAGCAAAGAATACTGCGAAAATCGTTATGACATCTTTCAAAAGAATTCCCGTTTCTCAATAAATTCTTCGCTGAAAATTATTCCATCACATTTAAATAAAAATGTTTCATGAATTGATGAGCAATAAAAGTCAATGATTTATTCGGAATTCGACTTGGAAAATAATGATTTTGATAGTGACGAAAAAAGTCAAAATCTATTCGAGGTTTTATCAAAATGATGCACAAGTAATAACAAGTGCACATTTGTGATTTTGTTATGCAATTCATTCATGTATGTCATTGTGTCCGATACGGTCCGATTTGGGCATGTATGAGCGTGCTACGCTAGCTTCACTTACACCACTTACGCTATATAAAAGCACACTCCACTATTCAAGTTTTAATACGCAAGTGTTAGTCGACAACGCACGATGGCAAGCATTCAAAGTGCAAATAATTCAAAGTCTATCAGTTTGATAGAAGTGAGCGAAAATGAGGCAGAAAATGGAAATAAAGATCAAATAATTAGCTTGATAGAAATAAATGAAAGTGAAGAAGAAGAAGAAGGTGAAAACAATGAAATAAAATCGGTGTGTGATGTGTTTAAATTGAGAAATATGAAAAGAGCCAAACGAAATTGGAGAAAGTGTTTGGGATGTGACGAAAACAAAAACCTACATCGTCCTTCTTTGGAAATGAGACGATACTTTTGTAATTCAGAAAGGGTATACATACAAAAAAACGATCGTGTTTGCGACTTTCATCTCAACAGTCATAATTGGAGTGAAATTCATTTTAAAAAATCTTCAATGTTCAGCAGCAAACTTGTAGATGAAATGCTTGCCCTTTTGATGAAACCTCCATTAAATGAATGCCTACAAATTGATATTGGCTTGAGTGATGTCGAATTTAAGCGAATTCTGCGTGAGTTAAATATTCCGGACAGTCCAAACAAAAAACAGAAAAAAATGGTAAGGGCGGTGAAAGTTTATTTGGAACGGCTTCGCAATGGTGATACGTATAAGCAAATAGCTCAACGATACAGCATGGATCGTAGAACAATTGGCAAGATAATCAAATGTGGCAGAAGTATTTTGCTAAATGATTTTGTTCCAAACCATCTTGGGTATGAAATTCGATCTCGCCAATGGCTTATAAAACATACATCTAATCTCGCACGCATGCTTTATTGCAATAATGACACGACAAAGTGTGTAATTATTCTCGATGGAACCTATATTTATGTTACAAACAGCAGCAATTATTCACATCAACGCAAAATTTATTCGGGACAGAAACGGCGACATCTATTTAAAATTATGAAAATAGTTACTGTGGATGGTGCAATCATCGATTTATTTGGTCCTTTTCCAGCCACAATTAATGATGCTGAAATTATCAAGAAGGTTTTTGAGCAAACATCTATTGAACAACTTTTCAGTGTTGGTGACGTCGTTCTAGTGGACAGAGGGTTCCGTGACTCTGTGAAATTTCTTGAAAATAAAAAATTTGTCGTGAAAATCCCTGAATTTATCGCGAAAGGCAATAATGGTAAGCTAACCACAAAGCAAGCCAATAGCTCACGCCTTGTCACAAAAATGAGATTTGCAATTGAAGCCGCCAATGGGCGTATGAAGAGTAAGTGGAAGCTCTTTAACAAATTAATTCCGTCTATTCTCTCCAAAGACTTGATGAATGATTATAAAATCGGTGCGTCAATAATAAATGCATACGGAAAACCAATTGAGGCTGATAAGCACGATTATCCATATATTGGTTCTCGTTTGATAAGCCTTGTATCAACGAAAAATGAATTGGAACCAATTATCAAGTCAAAAGCATTTAAGCAAATAGCCAATCGCCATTTACAATTAACGGATCCAAGCCAGCTAATTTTCCCGAAATTCAGCCAAGAGGAACTGAAAAAAATTTCACTTGGAACCTATGCCATTCGACAAGCAATTTCATATGCAGCAGACCATAGAAAATTGCACGGTGAATTTGCAATATACACATTGCCAACAGATCACGTGTCTGTCCACTTCGCAAAAATATGTGCCAAAGAACATTTTACAAATCCGATGTTAATTTGTGCCAAGATAAAATCTAGATTTCGAAGTAAAAATACACATAATGTGTATATTTTGTATGACTCGAATTCTAGAGAAAATTTGCTTCATTTATGCGAATGCCAGCACGGCAATCGGACAGCTGGCTGTTGTGGCCACGTTATGGCTGTAGTATGGCATTTCGGCTACGGTCGACATGAAACACCAAAAGATCCAGCTTCACATTTAAACGACTTTTTCAATGCTTTCACCTAAGTCACATTTTTCCAAGCCTTTTTGTTCGTTTTTTTCACGTAAGATTGGTATAAATAAACAAAACTTGTCCATTTATTTTTTAAAGGAAAATGAACTGATTCTCTATTTATTTATTCGATTCATGTATTTCATACATTTGAAATACTGACAGTATATTGTTACTGAAACCGAAATATTCAATTTCGTATGATGCGCAATAATGAATCGGTTTCGTTTATTTAGATTAACGGTGGTTGTTTTTTTTATTTGCTATTGCTGCTGCTGTCATTGTATTGGGTAAACATATCGTTCTATCTCTATGTCTTACATTCTCTTTTTGTGTGACTTTCAATATAAGTGTTTCGCTATAAATGAAACGGGAAAGCGGATTGCTTCTGCGTTGTTATTTTGTGTCAATACATGCAGTTCGATTTTGCATGCTGATGGTGCTCGATCGCATGTCACAGAGAGAAATAATTTTAATCATGCCGCAAACAGAAAATTTCAAGTGGAATACCACAGCTTCAGATTTGTTGGGACGAGGTGCCTTTGGCCGTGTGTACAAAGTGAGTTTTTTTCTACTAGTAAAATTATATGGTTTCAATAAATCAGTGAAAATAAAAAAAGTGCATTATTGAAAACTAAGTGAGGTGATGAAATAAAAAAACTGCTTTTTCGATGCCGCACATAACTAAGTTTGAAAAAATTGTTGTATGTGTGTTTGTGTACGTTAATCGGAAGTAAAATGTAACTTGAGCCTAACAAGAAAAAAATAAAAAAATGTCCATATGTTTTTCATCATGTTCCATTGAAATTTCATATAATTTGCTAATTTTAAACATAAAAAGAGACTGCTTTTGATCAGTTTCATATATTTTAAGAGTAAGAGATTGCATTGTTCAGAGTTTGAATATATATTTATTTTTTGTTCATTGTACGTCATTCGTCTACATTCATTGGACATAGAAAATGCAACTTTATTAATACCAAACCATTTATCGACGTGCATTTTTACACTGCACAACAGGCATTTATCCCAATTGCACTGAATTCTAACAGTATGGAAACAAAATAAGCTCTGTCAATTGAAATAGAATAGCATGGAATTCATCTTTTATTTTTTTTCTTCATTTTGGTTTTACAGGGAATTGGGAGCAATGGCCAAACTGTGGCAATCAAATCATTCTCATTCACATTGAAATCGTACATAGCTAGAGAAGCTGCCACAATGGCTGCGTTAAACCACCAAAATATCGTCAAATTTTTGGGTTTAGAAAAATGGAATGGATGAACAAGTTCTAATTATGGAATGCTGCAAAGGTAACATGCAAGATTTGATTGACACAAATCCAAATGGTTTGACTTCAGACGAATTCATAAAATTCTGCCAAAATCTCGTCGATGCAATTCAGCACATGCACAACAAAAATGTTATACATCGCGATGTTAAACCGACTAACATTCTGCTAATGCATCACAATGGACAAACTATTTACAAACTGGCCGACTTTGGTGCCGCGCGTTTCCTCGGAGACAATGAAACTTATGGTTCTTTGTATGGGACATTCGAATACGTGCATCCTGACATTTTCGCGAAATTTTATGCGAAGGCTCTGGATATATCTTATCCAAAACAAACTTTCAATGATTATCATGAGCTATGGTCGGTGGGTGTAACGATTTTTGAAGTAGCTTCAGGACGATTGCCATTTAATCCTAAAAAGGGTCGCGCAGATCACAAACAAATGTATCGCATGATGAAACAAAAACAAACTGATTGCATTTCGGCTGAGGAAACCGAATGTGGAATTAATTGGTCGCGAGAATTACCGGAAAATTGTCACCTGGATGAATCCGTAAAACAGGTCATCACGCCACTTCTGGCTGGACTGTTACAGGTAAATATTTATGTAGATAAAAAAACGATTCGTTAAAACAATATATAAGCATTTCAAATGTTCCGGCTATTTAATGGCGTGATTGATAGTTTCAGAGTTTTGTCATTTCATATAATTTCAGCCTACCAATGAATGGTCATTTCAACATTTTTTTGAAGAAGCGAAGCGTATTTTATATCATGAATCTACACTGCCTATCGAAAATGAGCAAAATCATGCACAACAACCAAATTGGTCGCACAAGTTTCGAATGCATCCCCGAGCAAGACGTCATCGACCAAATCGAGCAAGACACATGGGAGAAATTCAATGGTGGCGGCCTAAGCAATATCGGAAACGGCTATTACGTTAGAATGCTTCACAAAAATCGCACAAAAATACAACACAGTTAAATCATAAGCTAGTTC